AATATGCTGTGCACCGCCCTGAGTCCTACGGGAGAAGGGCGGTATATAAATTAAATTATTAAATTAAATTATTAAATTAAATCGTAAATCACAGACATTTATTATTTTAAAAGTGAATGCCACAAATCATTCTGAAGATTGCACTACCCATCTATATCTCAGAAAAAATTTGGACCTGATTGAACAGTATCCCTCCCTCCTTCCCTCCCTCCCTCTCCCCCCTCCCCCCCCTCTCTCTGTGTCTGTCTCTGTCTATGGAACTATTATTCGTGCATGTTTGTTGATGACCAGTCTATCTTCCCTATGTGTCCATCTGCCCTTGTGACTAACAACAGGATGATACAAAACTTCTGCTGCTGCTTCCTGACCATGCAGCTCATTTGTTTCCTTTCTCCTCTTTCCCTTTGCTTGAGCCAAACTACTGGCAGACACCAGGGCCAGCTTCCTTCCTGCTTTTGTTTGTTCTGGGCAACCTGTTCTAATTTTTACTGGGTTTATGTTAATAATTCTGATCACTATCATTGGGTGGGCTTTTTCAGTTCCTTCAGCAAAAGGAACCCCATTAATGACCTAGCACTAGGATAATAGGAATGGATCGCTAAAGCCCAAAATATCAGCAGAGAGAATATTTACTATACAGCAAATAGTACTATGCAAAGGTGTGAGACTGGGAAATCGGCATACCAGCATCTCCTTAGAAGACACTGAAATGGTAGCAAAGCATATTAGATGTCACTTCTATTTCATTGTGATAGCAGATGGTGAAAACTGACCCAAACTATTCTTTTTTTAAAAAAAAAGAAATGGATACAGTGGGCTTGAGAGCCAGTTTTGTGTAGTGGTTAAGGCACCAGGATAGAAACTGAAACCATGAATTCTAGTTCTGCCTCCAACATGAAGCCAGCTGGGTGACTTTGGGCCCGTCATTCTTAGTCAGCCTCATAAAATAGTCCAAGTAAGAAGCACACCAGAAGTGTACTAGCTATATTTTATCGTAAGGTTACTTTAACCTTACAAGTCTGGAAGTCCTTTTCTCCCCATTGTCTTTATAGCCCAAGGAACTGGGAGGGTCCAACCTGTGACATTTGCTATGACAACATTCCTTCTGCATCTAAGCTGCCTGTTGTCCAGGCATTCCTCTGGCTGTGGGTCTTTTCCCTGTCTCCCAAGATTATTTCCACATACAATAAATATCATTACACTCGCTTTAAGCCCTACGAAGAAAGAGTGGCAAGCTACTTCTGAAATCTTGCCAAGAAAACTGCAGGGACTTGTCTAGGCAATTGCCAGGAGTCGACAATTATTCAAAGGCATGAACATACACGGTGGGTTTGGGAACTTTATGTGGACCTTCAATTTGAGACATTTGGGGCATATTGGAAAAGCATTTGTACACACTATATGAAAATATGAGGTTGAGTTAGTCCTGGGATGCATTAGTAGCCAACATTTCTTGGAACTTTTAAAAAAGAGTTTTAGATATTCAGTCAAAAGTTACAAATCAAAAGTTGCATTCCGTAAACTGACACTGCAAGGGATAGAAGTCTCTATCTTGACATCAAATCAACATAACGTGTGACATCCTGCTATTGCTTTCTCTGTTTTCTTATCTTTGATTTCTAGCACCTAATCAAGAAACACGAAGAGTGTTGCTATCACATTGCACATCATGCCCATGTCTTGTCCGTACACAAGCAGAAGAATGAGGTGATAATTGAATTGGAAATAATTGAATTACAGTCCTTGAAAGGGCTATATCCTTTCAGCTTTGATAGCTGAGCTGTAGCAGTCAAATAAACACCTGACAGGGACCAGGTTAGGATGGAGCAGGTGTCTTGATTTTTTAAAAAAATATGCAAATAACTTGCAAATGCAAATAAGGAAATAGTACAAATAGCAACACACACCTCAGAGTGAAGTGGTATAATTGGTTCTTACTTTAAGAATCTGCCATCTTGATTTTGTTCATTTTTTAAATGTATTACAAGAAAGATAGCAGGAGGAGATATCTGTTGCATCAGCTCTATATTTTGTAGAAAATCTGCTTCTGCCCTAAGAATGAAAAATGACTATGTCTCAAATCTTTCTTAATGTGAAGGAAGTTCAGTTTGACCAATAAGCTTGTCTTCTATTTCTTATCTTCATGAAACTATGGATTTTCACATTGTAATTTCTAAGTAGACATCCTCTTTAGCAACTATTCCAGCTTTAAGTGATAAGATTGAAAGCTACTTGGTCATTGCCTGATAAAATGAACTACCTAATAAAATAAAAAAATATTCAACTTGTTGGTATTTCTGAATCTGCATAGATATGGAAGCATGGTAAGAGTTACAAGCTCAGACATGCCAAACCTTGTAAAAATTATAAAAGAGTGGGAAATGTAGAACATTAAACCATCACATAAAGTATTGTACATGAAAGGTATCCCATCTTGATTCTACTGGAACTCTAAACTAGCTAGAGTTTGAGTTGGGTAGGTTTGTATGCATAAGAGTGTATGCACACACTTGTATGTATGAATGAGTGAGTAAAGCTTTTGATTCACAAAGAGAACAATAAAATATTTAATTAGCATTTGTTTCTACATGCCTTGAATCTGCATAACAATAAATAGCATGGGAGGGATTATAAAGATTTTGCCTACTAAGATGTGTGAGAGCTCCACACAGAGTATATTACAGTACTGGATGTGAGCAAAGCTTATTTAATAGTACCTCATCTAGTTTCACCAAAATGGATGAAACTGGCAATCAGTATAACTACACCTAGACAATAATATCTGGGGATAATGATAAAGGGTCACACATTGTTCATCTGTGATCCATGTAATTAGAAGTAGAATAAAATATTTGATGAACTCAGGTTAATCTGTACTATAGTATTATGGCAATTGTACAGATTATTTTTTAATTAGATTTATATCCCACCTTTTGTTCTGGTGCTCAAGGAAGTAGCATTCCTTTATCCCAAAAACAACCCTGTGAAGTAGGTTGGACTGAGAGAGAGTGAATAGCCCAAAGTTCCACCATGAGCTTCCATAGTTGAGGATGGACTTCATCCAGATTACCCTGTGTCATATAAATTACTGTATTGGTTTAGACACTATACTGTATATTGAAGAGTATAGTGAAATACTTTCCATTGTGCCTCACTATATGCTACAATACTATACAATTATGCAGCCTGCCTTTTAAAAATTAAGGTAGATGCCAGTCCCATTCACTCATGTGTCTGTTGTATAAAAAAGAAGCATCGTTGCCTGAAAAATAATATGAATATTACAAGGTGATTTCTACATTCTCTTCTTCATCCTTCAGTGCAGATTGAAACTAATTATTCTCTCTCCTGTTTTCTATAGATGGGATCCACAGTGTTGCTGCCCAATGCATGCTGCAGGTGACCATTATCACAGATGAGATGCTGACCAACAGTATCACTTTGCGGCTGGAGAACATGTCCCAAGAACGCTTCCTTTCACCACTGCTGGCTCTCTTTCTTGAAGGAGTAGC